AAAAAAAAATCACCTTCAAGCTCTCTTGTCTCAAATGAACAACCCCCTCATTTAAAACCAAATTCACTTCTGTCAAATGGATTCTAAGTCAGAGCAACCCGGCAGGACAGAGAACTCTCCCCACGGGCCTCCCAGGGTGTCAACTATACAGCTGCCCTGCTCTCACTCAGAGCCACAGGTAGGCGTGAGCCACTGACTTTTCACTTTAAGCACGGAGCCACCAGGACTCCTCAATACCCACAAACGAGGTGTAGTAAAGAATGCTGCTGTCTATTTATGTATGCAGCTAAAGCTGGGTAGCTGGGGATGGAAGAAATGGGCTTAAAATGAGTGATGGGGGGATTAGGTTTTGAAATCTTGCTTGGTAAGTGAATGAGTGTTACAACCACTTGTCAAGGCAAAATGGTTAATCAATTTGGAGATAGAGGGGTGTCCTCACTCACCATGTCAGAGCACAGTCGCCCAAATTCTTGCAGAAAATTATCCAGCGTTATCTCTCCTCTCATAAATGTTAACCAGGGTCCACTGTCACCCCCTGCAACCAGGGCCTTCAGTATTGTTCCAGAAGGAATGTGGTTCCTGGCCTCCCACTCTACAGGAAGTACAGGATGTGGTAGGTGAGAAACTTCAGAAATTGGCCGAGGCTTGGGAAGTCAGTGAGTTTGGGGGGGTGGGGGAAGTTCAGGAAATGCAAACTGTCTACCCAGAAAGCCCTTAGGACAACACCCTCTCTCTGCTGCTGCCATCAAGTTGTAATCACCCAACTCCCAGCTGAGCCTCCCTCAGGTTTTCAGAGGCTGTAAATCACGCAGGAGTAAAATGTCATGAGGACAGCTGTTGGCTCTTTTCCTTCCACTGGCCGCAATCAGAATGTGAGGGCAGGAGGTGGCACAGGCAAGGCCAGGATTTTTTCAGAATACATCTCCAGGCCTTCTGCAGTCCTCCGGGGTGGACTAAAGCTGCCAACCTTTTGGTCAGCAGTCAAGCACATCAAACTTTTGTACCCCCAAAAATTCCCTCTAGTCCCTTACCAACCTCTGCCCTCCCACCCCTCCACCCCCAGGCTCAGAAAGGGGAACAGGACGAGCGCTTACCTGCAGCCACCTTGCCTGGGGAAGGAATGAGAACACCACCCATGTCAAAAATCACTGCTCTGTAGGTGCTGCCTCCTCGGGAGTGCACCCACCGCCGGGCCCCCCAGGGCCTGCTCCAACTGTGTGTCAGGAAGGTGGTCCTCCAAGCCCCCTGGAGCAGCAAGGACTGGCAGAGTCTCCTGAGGGTCATGGTGAGACCAAGGCCACACGAGGCTGTGAAGGAGGCACGAGTAGAATCTATGTTCTCTGCTGTCCATCCAGCCTGCTACACCCAGGGCTCAGCAAACACCCCAACTGACCTCCAGGACACACCTCACCCCACAACCAGGACAGAATGGAGTCTGACCATTCCTCTTCTCTGCGTCCTTAGTGGAGGATGGGCTCCCCCAGCTGTCCAGACCTCCACCCTGGATCACTCCCGAAAACGGAGGCCTCCAGCTCTGTCCTGGATCACTCCCTAAAGCAGAACCCCTCCACCTCTGTGCAGTCAGCTCATCCTCCACCCCGACACTCCCGCCAGCAGAGCCCCCTCCACTCCAGCTCTGGGGAGTCAGAGCTTCCTCCACCCTAGACTATTCCCAACAGCAGAGCCCCTCCACTCCAGCT